GAGCAATTGTATCAATTCACTTTATCAGAATAGATACAACCTAATCATCTAGAGGATCAAGAAAATTGAGATAATTTGCCCTCTCTGAACTAAGTACTTTAAAGAATATATCATAATACTATAGCAATTCTAATTTTCTCCCAGAAATTGTGCCATGTTTGCAAACAACCTGTTCTGTCTTTTGCAGGGTGACTCAGGAGGCCCTTTGGTATGTGTTAAGGATAAACACATGACTTTGGTTGGCATCATCAGTTGGGGTCTTGGTTGTGGGCAGAAGGACGTTCCAGGTATATATACCAAGGTCACTAATTACCTAGACTGGATTCAAGAAAATATGCAACCATGACCAAGAAAACTCAGCTCCTTAAAATCAAAGGAGATCCTGACTTCTTCCTCTTCAGAAGACATACTGTCAAGTCCATGTGATTCTCTATGCCAATTTCTCCATGAGCCACCTCATGGTAGCAGGGGAGAAGAATCAGTAGGAGAGGACAAAGTGTTTTAGTCGGGTACTTTACATTTTGGACATTTTACAGGAGTTAAAGGCTGCTTTCAGAATGTATTCTGTCAGATAAGAAGACAGCTAAATAAATGCCAACCCCTCCTGGAATTCTACTGTCTAGAGCAGAAGCGATGTAGAATGAAAGTCCAGACTCCTAATCACTGGTTGTGAGAAAATCTGGAAATGGGAACACAAAGATAAAAGTATGTCTCAATAACAAATAATAACTAGATCCTGAAAGAGAAAAGTATTGCATTAGAAAAAGAATGTGTATTTATAGTCACAAGAGCCCAACAGGGCCTCCAAATAAGGGATGGGCTGGCTGGACAGGTCATTTTTCCCAAAACGATCCCTTAAATCAAGTATTCTTCTTCTGCCTTTCCACTCCACTTGGAAAATATTCCTTTTGTGTATAGTGTAAATCTTTTTTCTTTATAAACTTTTTAGTTAACTGAGAGATTATATCATTTTTATAATAGATGAGCTAGGATTTAGACTATTTATATCAATCTACTGTAATTTTCATGTTCTGTTGCCATAACCCTGTATTATATTGTCTTTAAATAATAAATTCAGATATATTTTTCACATTTTTCTCCAGAGTAGAATGGTTTTGTTACATATGCAGTATTCCACAGCTTACTCAGTTATTCATAATTCACATTTTTTTAATCATTTGAAATATTTCCTTTCATTCATTCAACATAAACAGAATACCCAGTGCCCACAAATAAATATGCTAGGTGCTGTGGACAGTAAAAGGGGGAAGAAAGGACAGCTTGGTATGACAGGAACAGAAGATATTTAGAAATAAGGTAGAATGGAGATGGGCCATAGAAGGGCAGAAACTTTTATTGGAATTCAGCTGCAGGAAGGATTAGGGAATCTGAAGGAAAAAAAATTAGGGAGGGTTTTCCTCAGATTGGGTGAGATCTGGATTGGTACACAGGTGCAGTAAAAGCAATCTTGAGATGAAAAAATTCAGTACCTGAAAATACGAAGATCTGGAGGCAAAAGAGACAGAGAAGTATAAAAAGAAATTAGTAGTTTGTCTACGGTGAACTTTATGAAGGGGACTGTAGATTGGAATTCAGATTATGGGGGCTGTGAATGCCAAACTGAGTTTAGATTTAATTCAATAAGGAGCTGTTTTGAGTATTTTGCTCAGGCAAGTGGGAGTATGTCAGGAAAATGAACTATGTGGTAATGGGAGAGTAAGAAGACAGGCAGTGAGACTCTTTTGACAGTAGCTACAGTTACATAAAAAACAAATGAACTAATCATGACTTTGCTAACATAGCAACATCTCAATTGTTGGTTCAGACTAGAAGCTAGTATTTAGGTCACTTTTTCCCATCCCATTTTGCTTTTCTGCTCATCAGAATTACCTCTAGATTAGTTCACAAAGTATGTTACTTGAATACTGCTGCTTTCTGCTTCTCTTAGACTACTTTCTTATCACTCTTAAGATGAGACCCATGTTCCTAGCTGCTGCCTCAGTTTTTATCATTGGCACTCTAGTTTCAAGAATACATCCAATGAAGCTTACTTTTGGGCATACGCTGACAGTTTCTTAAGGGAAGAGAAAGGTCTTTATCTCTTGAGGGGTTGTACAAATTACCCAGTTTGAGGTTCTTGGAAGAAAAGTAGTTTACACTCACAAAAGAAATTATCTGCAGTCCAAGAATTTGATTGGTTGGATGGGGGAGGGGGGTCAGGAGGAGGGACAGAGATGGGGGTCTCCCCTGAAACGCTAATGTCCCTAGGCCAGTTAAATCAATGCAAACTGTGGACACTTAGGTTGCAGATTTGGTGACTTCACACAACTTGTTTATAAGTTCTAAGATTTTAGACAGATATTCATCTGTTTGTGAACTGCAATGAGCAAGAATCCCTGGCTTCTGCATCTCTGGCTGAAACACAGCAGTTCCAACCCCTCCCCCTTGCGTGACAAGCTTTTCTTTTAGAGAGTGGGGTTAATGAAATGAAATGAAGCAGTACGGCCTCCTGGGATGGAAATACAAAGTCAAAAGGCTCCAGCATTCCCCTGAGTGGAGTCTTGGAAACCGCAGACCAAATGAAGACAATTGCTTAGAAGAGGCCACTGAGTTACAGGGTAGAGACCCAACCCAGCAATACAGATTCATTTGAGTTATACTAAAACATCAGAGCAACACATCATTACCCAGGATAGGTTAGGAAATTCAGGATAAAATGGCTGGATCTTGTCAGGTGAAGGAAATGGGTACAATAGGAAATTCAATATTATTTCCTCAATATCCCTGGCTGATTAAAACAAATAGATGCTAACAGACCCAAAGAACAAGAAAGATTCCCAAGTAATTGTAAAGTTAGTTTTAGTGGGTATAAAGGCCTAGAGGAATTCAGATGGTTAAAACTATTGTCCTCCTAGAGTTTCATTTGTGCATATCAAAATGTTATCATCAACTTTTGGCTCAACATTTAACTTCAAAATCCAAGCTCATTCAATCCCCAGTACTTAGGATCTTGGAGAAAGTTTGAGTTTCAAATTAAATGCCCTTAAAAAAAAAAAAAAAAACTAACAATTTGTATTGATGGCACTAAGTCACCACCTGCAGGCCATAGAGGAAAGTGCAAGTAGATAACAAAATTTCACATCACATCACAATGCTACCAAAACATCCTGAGGGAAGAGTTGCAGGTGTCCCTGATCCATGGGAGACACATTCTAAAATCCCCAGTGGGTGCTTGAAAGTATAGAACATTATATATCCAGTTTGCCTGTACATAAGTGCCTGTGATAAAGTTTAATTTATAAAATTAGGCACAGAGATAAACAATAACAATTATTATCAATGTACTATTGTATAAAAGATATGTAAATGTGTTCTCTTTCCCTTTTTTACCCTTTACTTGCAATAAATGGCTTGGTATCACCTGTTACAGGGGCTTCCTTGCTGAAGTCTCCACATAGGCTCAATGCTTTTTGGTGCAATACACAATCAGCAATTGGAACATGTTTTTTGTTCATGTCTTCTGCCCATGAATTCAATACCTCTTGCATCTTAATTAAGCACTTATAAAATGCACTGTGGCAGTAACTTTGTGTTGCTACAGCAAAATGAGTAAAAATTTATTTTACAACTTCAGATATAAATCTTAGCAACCTCAGTGTAGGATTTTTTTTTTCCTTTATTAAACAGAGAACTTTCACCTTTTCACTTTAGGCTTTTCTAAACCCTTAATCGAAACTCCAAGTGTTCCTACTCTTGTGCTTTGAGGCCACTAGGTAAAATAAGGGTTACTTGAACCTAACCACTGAAATACTGTGATAGTCAATCTGATAACCAAGATGGCCAGGCCACTAAGTGACTAACAGGTAGTATACACAGTGTAGGAATGCTGGACAAGAAGATGATTCATATCCACGGCAGTATGGTGCAGGACATTTCAGTACAAGATAGAGTAGAATAACGGAGGAGAGAAAAAGATTTCATCAAGCTATTCAGAATTGTGCATAATTTAAAATATATGAGCTGTTTTTTTTTCCGGAATTTTCCTTAATATTTTCAGCCTGTAGTTTATCTCAGACATCTAAAACTTGGAAAAGTAAAACTGCAGATAAGGAACAGGGGGACTACTATACTAAAAAGTGGTGAAGAGAAGAAGCTGAATATTAACAAACCCTAAACACTGTGACTATTAAACAGGAGTTTTCAGAAGAATATCAGTATAGACAGGGAATATCAGCATCCACATTTTCCAGACTCCTAAGGTCTTAACCTTCCATAAAACCTTGACTACAATAAGGATGTCTAGTACCTTGCAGTCCTGCTCTGTGCCTAAATTAATCAACCTGAGAAGCCGGTCAAAAGGGAAAAAATAGGGAAAGAGCTGGGCACAGTAGCGCACTGCCTGTAATCCCAGCGGCTTAGGAGGCTGAGACTGGAGGATTGTGAGTTCAAAGGCAGTCTCAGCAATGGTAAGGCGCTAAGCAACTCAGTGAGACCTGTCTCTAATAAAATATAAAAAAAGACTAGGGATGTGGTCCAGTGGTTGAGTGCCCCTGAGTTAAATCCCCGGTACCAAAAAGAAAAAAGAAAAAGAAAGAAAGGGATAGGGAAAGCACTAGAATAAACACCAGTGGTTTTAAATGGTTTTGTCTCTTATACCCTGGGGGAAAATAGTTTGATTGATAGGGACCTCAGTTGTCATAACTTAAAAGTGACATTAACACCAACATCCCCTATTTCCCAGCAGTGACCAGAGAATCAAATATGATTTTATAACATCTGGCTAAAGAGAACAAAAATTAGCAAGATCCTCCTGAAAAGATAAATTGCTTATTGCTTCTACTGACAAATGCATGGCATAGCATTATTATTAGTCCTAGTAACAAAACACTTCAGCCACAGAGGTCTGGTAAAATTCAACTTTATTAAGATTTAAACAGAGAAGCTACTTCTGCACATGTTAACCACACATGGAACTGAACAGCTCAACTAAGGCACCCTGAACTATTCATGCCACCTGACACATTGTGGGAAGCTGGCAGTGATGCTTGATTGTACTCCAGTGGTCTGCTACACCCATGTGTGATGGTTATTTCACATGCTTAGGCCCACAAGTCCCATAGTCTAGACTTTAATTCTTCTTAGTTATGTCCCTTGCAATAAGATAAGCTGCCCTAGAAGACATAAAACAGCTGCAAAATCTTCAGGGACCAAGATTAGTTGATTCCTGTGACTTAGGAACCTTTCAGAGCCCTCAGAAGAGGTGATTCTGAACATTCCTGGGATTCACAGGCAGAAAAGTTTCCTCTACCATGGTGGGTGTGTACAGGCTGCAGTGTGGAGTGATGGAGTATGAAGCACATCTGGTTGTATGTAGCAGTTTATCCCAGAGAAAAACCACAAAGCAACATTACTCTGCAGCACAAATAAGTCCTGGAAGCAGCAAGATAAAACTAGCAAAAAGAAAAAAAAAAAGTTGCACAAGTATTTGGAAACAGGACTTTAGAGAACTAGAGTTGGAGAGTAAAGGTTTCCTTTTTCTCCATGCACAATGCAGAGCACACTAATGTTCTCTACTCTATACTTTGAAGRTAGCAAAAACAAAAACAAAAACAAAACCTGTCTTTTACTTAGATATTTGAATAAGTAATGGACACATGAAAATAGAACAAAAATTACCCACTTGGAAAACTTTAAGTACTTCTTAAGTTGTTTCTTAAACTGGGTTGGTTACATATGACCAAATGGTCCAGATTCCTACAACATTAATTTTATTCAAAGATTTAAGGGAAATTTTTGCCTATCTATTGTTAATAAATATATTATAGAGTACAAAACAAAAGACTGAAGAAATGACAACTTTACCAAGCAGCTTCAAGGATCTATCATGTCCTCAATGCTAGGCATTATTTTTACCAAGTTCTACCTATGGAAAAGTTTCATACAGGAAGGCTCAGGATCCAGTACCAGTCTAGCACAGATAAATGTAGACATGGGATCACTCAGTTATAGCTGTGATCCACCTTAATGGGAAATGAGCTGCCATTGCTACTCCAATACTCTGACTCATAAAATCTGGCTGCACTGAAACTCCTGCTATTTAGAAAATCCTGTGGAAGGATCAGGTAACCAGAAAGGCAGTGAATTCTGTAAAAGAGTAGAATTATTTTGGGAAGAAAGTGGGTCACCTTCTCACAGACCAAGTGCTAAAGGCAAGCAAAAGAATATGAAAGCTAGCTCAATATCATCAGTCTTTAAGGAAAATTCTGATTCTACTGGGTTTTCTGTGTCAATAGTGGACTTGAATTTAAGAAGTTCCCAGTTCATTTTTAGAAGTATAAACAATATTATGTATCAGAGGGATCAGAAAGAAATCAACTCTTTTCTTTACAACCCTCCTTAATGTAAAGGTTGATCACTTTCCTTGCCAATCTTTCACTTTAATATATCTCCTCAAAACTCTTCTTTAGTACTATTTCCTCTTTTTTTCTCAAAGATTAGACCTTTTTTCTTTGTTTAAAATTTTTGCAGTGTTGGGGATCAAACCTAGGGCCTCGTGCATGCTAGGCAAGCATTCTACCACTAAGATACATCCCTAGGCTTAGATCAGATCATTTTTCATGTTGTGTGTGGTGCTGGGGCTTGAACCCAGGGCCTTGCACACCGTTAAGCAAGATCGGAGATCTGCAACTGGCTTTCTTCAACTAAGATTCATTTTTCTTATAATTTCCCTTCTTTCTAATCTTTCTACTTTAAAAAAAAATCTATAAAGTCTTTCAGTGGCTTTAGATAATTAAAGCCAAGCAAGCAACAAATGCTGGTCTTTTTCTGTGGTAATCATGTTAAGAATAGTTAAATAAGATGTCAAGTACTGCTACCCTCCATTATACATCTCTTCTTGAGAACTGAGTTGGTGCTGACTGTGTTTCAGTTCCATGCCGTTCTCCCTGGTGACTCTTTTCTCCCTTGATTAGTTCCATGGCGCTGAAGGCTAAGGAAAAAGGGAGCAGATGGGCCCTGGAGGAACTTACCTAAGAGACAGGCTGATATTTTTTACTTTTAGACAAGTAAGAAATGAAAAAGTGTTCATGAGTGTTCCAGCTACAAAACTTTCCCTTCAGGTTCGAACTTGAAACTTTCCAGCTTTTGTCATGTATTTTATGCCTTTAAAGGGTTTGTACTTTTCTCCATACATATCCAGACGATTCACTTTGAGTCCTGGAAAGGAGGAAGGGAAGGAGGAGAGAAAATAAGATATGAGTATTCAAAAGATGCAGGTAGCACAATTGTTTGCATGAATTTCAGTTCAAAGAGATCAGCAGGATGGAGACTGCAGTGACAATGAATCCTTCTGTGAAGCTAATGGACTCTTCACACGCAGTACATACACCGACAGTAAAAAAAAAAAAAAAAAAAATGCTTCATCAAAAAAAATTATTCTATAAGAAGACCTCCTCATGTCGGAAAGATAGAAAGTTGCAGACCGCAATGACGGCAAGAGCAAAAAAGATCACTGCACTTTTTGTTCAAGTTATTGGACTGAACAAATCAACAAATGATAATAAATAATGAAAAATAATGAACTCATCAGTGACTGCTTTGTAAGTATTCCCACTGTAATAAAAATATATTATATACAGCTTACAATTTATCAAGTGTTTTAAGGTGAAATAGCTTATAGCTTAACTGAATTCTCACCATTTAAATTAAATAAGGTCTTTTAGTAAAGAAAAACAGGAATATACATATAACACTAAAGTCATTTTCTTTCCATCTCATAGGGTTGTTCTAAGGACATATATAAAAAGAGCTTACAAGAGCACCTGGCACATAATAAATACCCAATAGATGATAACTACTTATTACTATCTTCCTATGGTCGGTACAGAATGGACTGGCCTGGATAGGTTCAATGGTTCCAAAGACTCAAATATGAGTCTTTCGAAATTGGGAGAAAGGAGAGGAAATTATTCTTTTCCATTACCAGCTAAGAATACAGAAGTATTCATATACTGAAAATCTTAGGAACCTCAAATTATTATTTCTTATCATTTGTGACTTAAACACTTTTATTAAGGTCCTTTAGGCCAACTTCAAAGTAAGGATTGTAAACTTCCTCCAGAAATGTACTGGAAAAGATGTACCTAAAGATTATAAACCAGGTAACAAAACCAGATCTTATATAAATAGGGAGCCTTGGGAAGGCTTTTTGCTGTGTGTACTTTATAGAAGAAAGCAACTTATGTTTGTTTCAAAGCTGCCTGAGCTTTGGGTCACTTACCAGAAATGGCCAGCTGCTGGATTTTAAACTGCAGGTTGATTGTGGGGTTTTCATCTGGTTTGGAAGCTCCAGCCTGAAGACTCATGGTCCCCTTCAAACTTGGTAGCTTTTGAGGATTTATTTTTCCTACATCCCAAGACAACATCTTCAAAGAAAATTTAAAAAGAGAAGTGATCTTTACAATAAAGTAATTAAGTATACTAGAACCCCACATTTGAGATGGTTAGACTCTAACCTCAGGGCATCGGTTCACAATATCACAAGTTGCCTCTGGAGTGTTTTTTCAATAGAGAATCCTATTTGTCACGATAAGTAAAGTCAAAAAAGAAAACAAGATCCCTTTGGTTAATCTCATCTTCCAAACAAGGCATAATGTCTGCATGGAGAGCTCTTGAAGTTTACTTCTACTTAACATCAACAATTCAAAACGCCCTGTTTTCCCCTACCTTTGTCACTGGGTCAAATGTGTGTGTCCCTTGGGATGGAGTGAGGCTCATATTCAGCACTCCTTTGGGCATCTGACTGATGACAATCACTCCTTCTATAGTCTTCCCCATAGTCTGCTTAGGTCCCACTGTTATTTCAAAGCGTCCAAGTGAACTACTGTCCCGGAAACTGATATTATGTTTGACATACACTGGAATTGCAACGAGACTGGAAAAGAGAAATAAAGAGCTCATATTATTCATGTACTGGAAAATGGCATTATTTTTCATTTTACATTATGGAGTTTTTTTTTTTTTTGCCCCTTTGGCAGCTTTTTCCTCCCTCACTTATATTCTTACTCCTTATTTTTAAAAATATAGAAAAAAAACAATTATTTTTTTCTTTTTGAAAAGCTAAGGTGTTGTGTAGTAAACTGTCTTCTGATGAATTCCTGAATAACATAAATAAAATCAAAGTGCACATTAAGCCTATCATGAGAAAAATATTGAACAATACTGAAGTCCCTATATTTCTGTTTTAATTTGTGACCTGTGACTATTATTTGTACGGGAGAGAGAGGCCTTTCATAATTTCTTGAGGGTTTTTTATTTTACCTCATCTGATCCTCAAAAAAACACTCAGAGGTAGAGTAGGCTATAATGATTTGATAGGACAGGAAGTTGACCCAGAGAAGTCACAGAATAATCCCATAGTAACCCTAACCCTAACCCTAACCCTAACCCTAACGGTTCCTGTCACTGAGTACTTCCTGTGTACCAGTCACTATTCTCAATGCTTACCATTCATTTAATCCTCACCTTATTTCATTCTCCTAATAACAATGAAATATTACTGCCACTATGTGCTACTTCATAAGTGTGAAGTAGTTACTGATTTTAGAGATGAATACTGGTGTCCTCGAACTTAACTGAAATTAAGTAACTTGTGAAGGTCATATACTATAAGCACTGAAGGTGCTGGTTAAATCCAGGCAATCAGATTCCAAAGCCTTTGACCTTAAGCATTCAGATGTTTCCCTAAACAACTGACTTCAAATCACACCTGAAGGTGTTGGTGGCTCTGAGGTCTCTTGGCTCTTGTGTCTGCACACCTTTGCCCATGCAATACTGCTTGTATCCAAAAGCCTGTAGGCTTCAAACTGAAGTGAACATATAAGATCAAAAAAATCATTAAATTTTATGCTTTTTCATAGCACAATTTAATCTTTTTGGGGGTCAAGTGGATTGAATATAGGCTTGCTCAGATTTTAATTTGAGAAAAAAAATGTTCTTGTTTAGACACAAAACAAAAATGATAGTGATAAATTTGATGAGCACGTCCTTCACATTAAGCACTATTTAGACTCACTCAATCCTGATAAAAAGGTACTTTTATTATTTTCAGATAAGAAAACACACAGCAGGGAAACAACTAACCTGAGAAGGCACACTTAGTAACTATAGGAGCTGGAACTTGATCCCAGGTAACTTTAGAGCCCAAGTTCTTAATCACTACAGATACTATCTCCACATACACAGACAGACACAGATTCCACTCTCAGTGGGAGGAGCCGCTTACTTCTGTGCACTGACATGATAAGAGAGCAGACGGAAGTTTCCATCAGGTGGGATGAAGGATAGAATACGCTCTGACTCCCAGCGCTTGAAACGAACACAAGGATGGAAGCTGACGTCATCCAACAGCCGGGGGTTCTACAGTTACCAGGCAAGGAAGAGCAAGTAGGAATTAAACACCCACTTTTCTTTCAGGAAAGTAATTCAGTTGCTATTTTTACTAAAAGACAGACAGACACACACACACACACACACACACACACACACACAAACTCTCTAATTACTTATAGAAAATTCAAGGCTGATATAAGCTTTGTGGCTGCCCTAATCATTTCTAGTTCTATTCTGTTCTTACCACTCTGGTTTTATAGAAACTTTTAATTTCCCACCCCAAGAACAGGAACTCTAGTCCAGGATTTACCATAAAGGAAAGTGTAAGGTCTGGCATTCCAGTGAGTTTTACACAGGCATCAACCACGCCCTGGATCTCAGCAGTAACTGTGGAACCTGAGACAGGAACAGACAAATAGATTTACTGAACACCTCTCTGTCCTTCCCAGCTAACTTACTTCCTCCCTCTTGCTCCTCTCTCTTCTTCTTTGCCTTCCCTGCCTCCTTTCTTCCCTTCTTCTTTCCTTCTGACCAGCTGTCCAATTCATTTATCCAACCCATTCACCCATCCTTCCAAACATGTATCAACTACATATCAAGGCTGAGACACTATGATGGGGATGAAAAGATTAATGAGATAGTTATTAGCCTAAAGGAGTTCTCAATCTAGTGTCACAATCACATAGAGCATCATTATCTTAACCAATGGTTCAGAAAATTTCCTATTAGAAACTGCTCTCCCAAAGGTCACCAATGAGCTTTGCTGCTAAATAAGACACCCATGGTCTCTATCCTACAGGATCTCTTCAGCATTTGCTATTGTTGATCACTTCTTCCTTTTCAAAATGCTTTTCTGTCCTAACCTCTCCTAATTTTCTCCTTTTATTCCCAGCTCTTCTTCTTCAGTGTCTTCTGCAGATTTCTTTACATGCCCTTAAATATCTAAGCTTTTCCACAGTTCTGAACCTCTTTTACTATATATTCTCCTTAGTAGTGTTACCTACTTCCCAAGATTTACATTTTCATTTACAACCAACTATTTCCTACTGTTTTTAAGTTAGCCTCACTTCTAATGGACATTCCACTGGAATGTCACTGTGGTGCTTCAAACTCCACATGTGAAAGAGAAATTTATCATCTTGCTCCCTGGACCACTCCTCTTGTTTTCCACATTGCTATGATGATACCACCTATCCTACTGCATAAAGTTAGAAACACAGATGCATCTTTGACTATTTCTACCTCCTTGGTCCCCATATCCAGTCAATTACCAATTCTTCTCTTTTCTAAGACTTTACAGCTCTCAAATTTATTCATTCCTCTCCATCCTGACTACCATTATAGACAGTGATATTTTGTGTGTGAACTTCAGCAACAACTTCCTGCTTTCAATGCTTACAGTCTTACCCCACTTCAACTCATTATTCCACAACAAGCCTGATGAAATTATTCCCCAACTTAAAACTCTCCAAATGCTCTCAACTTTCTTCCTTAAAATGGCACACAAGGTTCTTCATGATCTGGCCATCATTTTTTTTTTTTAAGTTTTCACTGATATTCTATAGTAAAATACAAAAACCATACAGTTCAGTAAATATCATTACATCTCTGGAAGTACCATGCACATCAAAATGTAGAGCCTTTTCAGCAACCTGGTATGCTCCTTCTTATCCATTCCAGTTAAAGACATCCCCCAAATTCTGACTTCTATTACCTTAGATTGTGCTTATTTTCAAATTTCACATAAATGTAACCACATTATTTATATAATCTTATGCACCTAACGTTTCTGTTAAATATTGTTAGGATTTACTTATATTGCTGGATGTATCAGTGGTTCATTCTTTTTCTCTACCACACAGTGTTCTACTGTATGGCCATATTAAAGTTTATTTATCCTTTCTATTGCTGAATATTTGGGTTATCTCCCATTTAAACTAATACGAAAAGATGCTTTGGCCTTAGTTTTTTTTAATTAATTTTTTTGTTTATATAGGATAGCGGAATGTATTACAATTCTTATTACACAAATAGAGCACATTTTTTCATATCTCTGGTTGTATACAAAGTATATTCACAGCAATTTGTATCTTCATACATGTACTTTGGATAATAATGACCATCTCATTCCACCATCATTTCTAACCCCATGCCCCCTCCCTTCCCCTCCAACCCCTCTGCTCTCTCTAGAGTTCATCTATCCCTCCCATGCTCCCCCTCCCTACCTCACTGTGAATCAGTCTCCTTATGTCAGAGAAAACATTTGGCATTTGGTTTTTTGGATTGGTTAACTTCACTTAGCATTATCTTCTCTAACTCCATCCATTTACATGCAAATGCTATGATTTTATTCTCTTTTATTGCTGAGTAATATTCCATTATGTGTGTGTGTGTGTGTGTGTGTGTGTGTGTGTCACATTGCCTTAGTTTTAAGGCCTCATCAGTTCTTCTTTTATGCTTCTCAACCCAGTCATACTGAACTACTTTATTTTCCAATAATATTTTGGGAGACACTGTTGGAGTGGTTGCTCCAAAATGAATGCAAATCTTAACAGCTTCTATTTATTTTGCTGCTAAAGCAAAAACTATCTTCTCTACATACTTTTCTGGATGGATATGGTCCCATTCATGCTCCACCTTTTTTACTTTCTCTCACTAGACTTTAATTAAGCCTTCCAGACACAGACTATGCCTTTAGAAATGACCACCAAACACCCACTATACAGCACTGTGCTATAATACAAGTTTTCAATAAACATGTGTTGAATGGATAAGTTCACTAATGTGAAGAGAACTTTCTGTAGACCTCTAAGCTTTAGAACTTTTAGTTATATTTATCTAATTTAGAATAGGCAGACAGGAAGGCTTCCTGAATCAGTAATTACAATTTTAGTTCCACCATCACAAATGGGAATTAAACACTTTTATAAAGGAAATCTAATCAATAAAATATTAGTTTGTTACTTTTTTTATTATTATTGAAGAGGATAACACCTACAAAACAATTAATCCACATCAAAATAAAATCCACTGTGGCTCAGTGGTAGAGAACTTGTCTAGCATGTGTGAGGCACTGGGTTCAATTCTCACCACCACATATGAATAAATGAATAAAATAAAGATCCATCAACAACTAAAAAAGATATTGAAAAGAAAAAAGTCTATCCTTTAACCAGCACAGTGCCTGATAGAGTGGGTACAAAATTAAAATGAATGGTTCTGAATAAGGAATAATTCTGATACTAACATGTATTATATAAAAGGGGCCTCCTAATTTCAAATCTCAGATGGTTCAAAACATCTTAAGAGCACCTACCCGATTTGTCAATAATGGCATCAATCTCTTCAATCACATCAAAATAGGCTTCATTGTTGGTATATTTTACCCCAGTCCGTCGCCAAGGCACCACTGACAGCTGCCCAGTTGGAAGTTGGTCACCCACATTGGTACTTCCTAGATAATTAATATTGATACTTTTATAATCAAAAAGGTATTTTAATGTCAATTTGATTCTAACAGTGTACATTTCCCCAGAAGTTTCTATGCTCCCACTATTCATGCATTATCAAACAGAAGATGAGTGTTTCCAAACTTCTATATAGGGCAACCCGGTCTATTTTTAAAACTCATTGTCTCCATCTGGTCTGTCTCCTTGATCAGAATAAAGGTTTTTTAAAAAAGTTACCTGAGAGACAGATATCATATTTTGGATTTGAAAGTAACTTGAACTTAGTGTCTCAAATTCCACAATAGCTTGAAGCCTAAATAATGTATTGGGTTTCAGAACATGTTGGTAATCTACATATTGACATAAAATTTTCATGGGTAAAAAAAGTATTGTAGCATAAGTAGGTTCTTAGGTACATTCGTGGTAGTATTAAAATGTACATATCAACATGGGCTGTTTCATACTAATGTTAAAACTTAAAAACACAAATTAGATCCTTTCCTGTCATTAAGAGCTCTAGATGAATTCTACATTTTTGCATCAAAAAGTTTTTTAATTCAAAGATTTTTTACTGAAATAACAAAATGCTATAAATAATTTAAATTGTTTCCTATTTCATTTCCTGGATAGTTCTACTCTAAAGAAAGAAACACTATATACACTATATATTCAGCATGTTTATTAAACATTTCAGCTTTTATTCTTTTCTTCAGATTGAAGTGAGATACAGGCTTAAATAACTTAATAATATCCATAAATGATTCAAGCACTAACAAAGCTTTTAAGGCTTAAAATGAACTCAGAATACTGAAAAAACGCCATACTTATTACCATATTATTAAAGTTGTTAAAACTTCATACTATATCCCATACTTGGTGAGGCAAACTTTCTTTTATTTTTTAAAAATTTATTTGCAAAACTGTCTTGGATCTTCTAGTATTACTACTCGAAGAATTTTGGTCTGCCTGACTTAATCTACCTTGACATATTTAACAGGCCAAATTCTTATAATTCTTTTTCAAAACGCCATACCTATTTTTTATATTAACACTTTTTTTTTTTTTTTAAGAGAGAGTGAGAGAGGAGAGAGAGAGAGAGAGAGAGAGAGAGAGAGAGAGAGAGAGAAGAGAGAGAGAGAGGGAATTTTTAATATTTATTTTTTAGTTCTCGGCGGACACAACATCTTTGTTGGTATGTGGTGCTGAGGATCGAACCCGGGTCGCACGCATACCAGGCGAGCGTGCTACCGCTTGAGCCACATCCCCAGCCCCATATTAACACTTTTTAAAATGCATTTTCCACTAGTTTTCAAATTCCATGAAATCCTCGTTTATTCATTAAACAAGTCCCAAAATACAGAACATTAATGAAGCACAATGACTAATCTGACTAAATCAAAACATTTTATTTTATTTATTTAGTTAGTTATGCTGGAGCTGAACCCAGGGGTGCCCTATTACTGAGCTACATCCCCATCCCTTTTTACTTTTTAAGACAGGGTCTCTCTAAGTTGCCTAGGGCCTTGCTGGGTTGCTGAGGTTGGTCTCAAACTTGGGATCCTCCTGCCTCAACCTCCTGAGTCACTGGGATTACAGGCATATGTCACTACACCCAGCAAATCAACATTCAATATGTGTCTAAACAAACACCATGAACGATGTTAAATGACAAGCAACAGACTGTGAGAAAATATCTGCAATGCAGTATTCAAAATATATAAAGAACTCCTACAAAGTACCCTGTATATTAGAAATATATCCCTAAATAAAAGAAATTCTTTTAAATTATTTTAAATCAGTATGAGAAAAGAAAAACATTTCAACAACAAAAAATTGGGCAAAGAACATGAAAAGGTAATTCTCAATAGAGAAAAAGCAATCAAGAAACTTGAGCAGGTTTTAATCTCACTAGCAACAAAAAAATAAACAAAAACGGAGTTCATAACTAACAAGATGCCAACAAACCATCTATCAAATTGCCAAAGTCTCGGAAAAAAATAATACTAGGGTTGACTAGCTTCCACAGAAATTGCTACTGAAAACACAAATTCATGTTTAATTTTCTAGAGGGAAACTTGGCACAGCACAAAAGTCCCTAAAATATACACACCCCTTGACCTAGCGCTTCCATTTCTAGTATTGAAAATAAATCATCCCTGATGTACACAAAGATTTAAGAATATTAACCCCTCATTATTTAAAAGAAGAAATGTCAGAAATATCACAAACAGGGATTCAGTAAATAACTTGCATCTATTTAATATGAAAAAATTACAAAATCATCAATAATGATATAGAAATAAGGTGTGTTCATAAAATGTTGATAAAAGCGAAGCTTAAAAAATATACAAGAGTTTTTGCTTTAAAAAGTTTCATTTAGGGCTGGGGATGTGGCTCAAGCGGTAGCGCGCTCGCCTGGCATGCGTGCGGCCCGGGTTCGATCCTCAGCACCACATACCAACAAAGATGTTGTGTCTGCCGAGAACTAAAAAATAAATATTAAAAAAAAAAAAAAAAAGTTTCATTTACCATTTACCTATTTAGAAATATATACCCCAGTATGTTAAGTGTGGTGGTGGGATTAAGAGGAATTTTCATGTTCCTCCTTGTGCTTTTCTATATTTCTGAAGTTTCTATAACCATCATGTTTTTCTTTAGACCTTTTTTTTGAGAGGCTAGGGATGGAACCAAGAGCCTTGCACATGCTAGGCAAGTGCTTACCACTGAGCTATATCCCCAGCCCATAAAATACTTCATTTTGTCATTGAAATCAGGGTATTTTCTATATAACAAAAATATTATTTCAGGTTAGATTCAAAGACCATAAAGAGCAACATTAAAGTATCTGAACACTCAAGATTCCCAAACATTCAAAAATAATTCACATACCAAACTAAGCTACACCCAGGATGATAGTAACTTTTTGTCATAACTCCCATACCTGTTATGGTGTTGACAACTGTCCGAAGGATAGTGGGAGGTTTTATCAGTTCTTTGAGAATGTTCGACTCAGTAGCCAAGGGAAACCCATTATCAAGCATCTCTTCCAAAACCTCATAAACCACAACCACATTGTCTTTGATCACCGGCTCTGAACAGACTCCAAAATAATCCTGATGAAGACATAACACGCACATTTATTGTCCAGAGACTGTAAAAAAGTAAATAAATAAAAGAAGGTTTTCAAAGAGTAAGAACTTGGTTTATCCACATGTGTTTTACACAGTATTTCTGTGGTACTCTTCTACAATGCTGGAATGGGGCACAGCCACAGTTCTCTTAGGCAGCCTGGTTGGACAGAGGTAATACTAGCATATGGTACTACTGTCATTAGTAGCTGCTTCTATAAACTAGATGAAGTCTATTTAACTCTTTGAGTTAATTTCTTCCACTTAATAAAATATGCAGAATACAAAATTGAATCCAGATTATTTTATGTGCTTAGGAATAAGAATATGAATTATGCAAAATTATGCTATGACAGAATTATACATGAAAATCTTTTTAACCTTAACTGTGCTATTTCTTTATATTTGTGCATTGAGTAAGAGTTGAGAAACAACAACAAAAAAATTAGAATGAGGTGGATGAGCTAGCACAGTAGAAAATCTCTTAGGCAGCCCTAATGTTAGAATTCTAAGAATTCTTTTTCCTTTTATTAAAAAGACTAAACATGATGGTGGAATGTGATGGACATTATTATCCAAAGTACATGTATGAAGACATGAATGGGTGTGAATATACTTTGTATACAATCAGGGATATGGAAAAAAAAAAGGTTAAACTAGTTGGGCAAGGGTGGCATGTGCCCCCAGTCCCCAGTTACCTGGGAGGCTGAGGCAAAACAACTGCTTAAGCCCAGGAGTTTGAGGCAAGTCAGGAAACACTGAAAAACCCTGTCTCAATGACAACAACAAAGTTAAATATTGTATCGTCTGGGGTCTAGAAAAATCACTGGAAGACCTGGATTATAATCTTGTCACTTATTAGATCAAACTGTTCTCTGTGTTCGTCAGCTTTCCAACACTGTGAAAAAAAATACCTGATAAGAACAACTTAGAGGAAGAAAAGTTTATTTTGGCTCACAGTTTCAGAGGTCCCAGTGCACAGAAAGCCAACCCCACTGATTTGGGCCCAAGGTGAGGGAGAACATCATGGTGGAAGGGCGTAGCAGATGAGTACTGCTTAGCTCACAGCAGCCAGGAAGCACAGAGAAAGGGGAAGGATCTTGAAGGGAAGATGAACCCTTCCAGGGAATGAACCCATCCAAGACATGTCCCCAGTGACCCAGTTCTTCCAGGCACCACCTGCCTGCCTGATGTTACCACCCAATCCATTCAAACTAGGATAGATTTATTAGATTACAGTTCTCATAATTCAATCATTACACCTCTGAATATCTCTACATTAAAAAAGGAACTTTGGAGGGATACCTCATATCCAAACCATAAACATGTTACTAAGTTAGGTCTTGATTTCTGTTGTGGTAATAATCAGGATAATGCCATTTGAATATACAAGAATATTGAAAGTACTAAGAATAAATGATTAAATGATAAGGTCCATGAATGTACTTTATACATTTAAAGTACTATGTGAAATGAAATAAATGTCTATAGTCATTTAGTGTATCCTTCTAAAATTGTCGTCTCATCTTTTACAGGGCCTCTGAGACAGGCATGCAACCCTTCTTGAATTCATCCACCAAAGGGAAATTTACCCCTTCTAAGGATCATACTAGCTCCTTTGCACAGTTCTACTCATGGACAGCTCTGGTTATTAAGAATTCTTTCTTCTGCTAAATTCAAATCTGCCTCGTCCTAGCTGCCTTACACAGCAAGCTTAAATAATAGCACTGCCATTATCTGAAGACAACAACAAACTTTCACTCATTTTCACAGAACCAAACTTCTAAGATCACTCTACTGTTCATGCTATGGTATGATTTCCAGATTGTTTCACCATCTTGCCATATCTTTGACATCCAATATTGAATGCATTATACTAGATGAAGGCTAAATTACAATAGATAATCTCCATTGTCAGATCCCAAGATTTAAGAGGAAAAACTGTCACAAATTTCCTTCCCAAAGTGATTATATTTTTAAAAATTAAATTAAATTTTAAAAAACGTCTTCACTTGATTTTATAAACCAAATAATGTGATATGAACATTTGGAAAGGAGACTTGACATGACAAAGTACCATAGCAAAAGTGCAGTACAGCTGGAACTCTATCATATTTTAGTACTAGAAAAGTTATAGTGTCAAGAAAGGATAAACATCAAAAAAAAAAAAAAAGGCATTGAGCTGGGTATGATTGTGCACACCTGGAATCCCAGCTATTCCAGAGGCTGAGGCAGGAATATTACAATTACAAAGTCAGCCTTGGCACCATAGCAAGGCCCAAAGCAACTTAGCAAGACCCTGTCTCAAAAAATAAAAAGGGCCAGGGATGTAGCTCAGTTCCTGGGTTAAATCCCTGGTAACAAAACAACAACAACAAAAAAAAAAAACAAAAAAAAAAACACTGAAATCAGGATATGTATTTACTTTTAACAACTGCTTAAAAAATGACAAACTCACCAGGCACAGTGGTGCATGCCTGTAATCCTAGCGGCTCAAGAGGCTGAGACTGGAAGATCTTGAGTTCAAAGCCAGTCTCAGCAATGGCAAGATGCTAAGCAGCTCAGTGAGACCCTATCTCTAAATAAAATACAAAACAGGTCTGGGATGTGGCTCAGAGGTTGAGTGCCCCTGAGTTCAATCTCCAGTAAACAGCCCCCCTCAAAAAAATTACAAGATCTGAAGTTCTAGACTTCTAAATCAGCAATTTTACCCTGCTTTCTCAAATTCCTCTGTGATTTCAAAGAGATTACACAACTTTCCCACTACCTATCTTGCAATGAGTTACATAATAATTGTATATGGCAATAGCAACAACTGTTGAGTTTCACTAATTGGACTGTTAATCTTAGAAAAAGTGAAGTATCATATGTGGAAATCATAGCAAGGCACAGTTAGAAAGGTTTAAGATCATAACTACTGGAATTACTTCTAGTCCTTTCACATACTGGGGCTTATAATTCTTAGGGGTTTGTTGTTGTTTTTGTTTTGCAGTACTGGGAGCTGAATCCAGAATCTCACACAAACTACACAGTTGCTCTATTAATGAGTTACATCCCCAAACCTACTAATTCTTAGGTTTTCACTGTGCAAAGGAGCTAGTATGCTGAATAATTGGAATCCCAGATTAACAGTACTATCAGAGGGCTGGGATTGTGGCTCAGTGGTAGAGTGCTCACCTAGCACTGGGTTTGATCCTCAGCACCACATAAAAATAAACAAACAAAATAAAGATACTGTGTCCATAAATATTAAAAAAAAATTTATAAAAATAGTACTATCAGAGAGTGTTTGGAGAAAAAATCTTATAAAATATATTTTAATTTTCTTGGGAATAAGAATAGCTCTAGACATAGAATATAGATATGAGTGCAAATGAATGGACTTTTTGATTTGCTTTTTAATTTTTATCATAATGTCTGGATTCTCATTCTCCTCTCCAGCTCCACAATTCCCATATTCATGAGACTAATTCCAGACCTCACATGACACAGAAGTTAAACCAAAGGACCTTTGCTTCTAATTTATCATTTGAATTATACAAATAACTACAACAATTAGAAGTTAAGTGATTTTGTTAGGAAGAGGATTCCACTGTATAAATCTAAAGCCTGGATACTCTAAAATCACATGCTATAAATTATGCTCTCATACCCTGGTAAACTTACCTCCCTTACCCTGCATTCCAGGACCCCCAAGATCTCCAAATCAAAATGATAACTGTATCTTGTAAAATGGGTTACAAATTCTTACAGATACAGAAGATTTCCCAACCTTATGTTTGTAACAAGAGTTTATCACTCAGCAGTTATATGCTACAAATAACCACCTCAAACCAAAAATGAAGCATGGGTTCACAAATTACCTCTGCCAGGGACAATTAAGATAAGCATTACTTGGCTTTTTCTGTATTTTCTTTTATAAAAGTTTAAACATTTATCACTTTCTGAAGCAACTCAAAGCAATACTATAATATGGTTAGCATCAAGTCCACTATATTAAAAAAAAAATCTAAACTCTACTTTGTAAACAAAATGTAGGATGGGAACTAAACACACCACACACAAGTTCAAAAGTATTCAATTTGTCATTTTAAATGCAACCAATGCAATAATTAGAAAAAAGAATCTTAATTAGATAAGAGAAAAGTGAGCAATAGCAGAGTTTTGATTTCTCAGACTTCTTTTAACTGAAGCTGAATACAATGGAAACAGGACTGTAAAGACACTTTATAACTTACATATATGAATCCTCTCATATTCACTAACCTGAAATGTGTCCACTACTCGGTGAAGGAACTCAATGACAAACAGAGGTGGGACCTCAGTCTGAATCACGGCCACAAAAAAGATCTTGTGGCGGTAAACACTTAAGAGATAATGGTGAGGGGTAGGGATAACTGGAGGCACATTTTCTGCCTCAGTTGCTCTTTCCTGTGCCTCAAAAAAGTAATCGCAAACAGAACGACTGACCACACTTTTCCAATGTTTCTCCAGGAAAATATCTCCAGAGGAGTTGATCAAGAAAAGACTATGAATCATGGTGGGAAATTGTCAGTGAAGAGGAAAGTCTTTTTCAGTGGGAAAGTCTCAGGATTCTGCAAACTTTCAAACCTAAAAACAAAAGAAGCTATATTCAGTGCCATTCTCTCCCCATCTTTTCCAGCAGTCCAAGACTTACCAATTTTTTCAAGATCAGGCTCAAGTCTTCCTTTACTGCATGAGCTTGAAGTATCCTTCTCTTGAATTCCTAAGAATAATTATCAGCCATCTCTTTTGTCAATCATATACTCCTAGTTATCTCTCCCACTTACTCTTTCTCTGGTGCTGAGGACTGAACCTAGAGCCTCTCAAATGCTAAGCACATGCTCTATCATTAAGCTACAGTCCCAGCCTTTACTCCCAGTTATCTTTACTATTGCCTGAAATATACCCACTTAAAATACTACTTAATCTTTGGGTATCTATTTTCTCTTCAACTAAGCTCTTTAAAGGAGTTTTGGGGCTTTTTGTTGTTGTTGTTGCCTTATTGCACATTACCACTTTGCATACAGGAGAAATGGAAGGTTTCAAAGAACATTAGTGACTTTGATATCAGGTTTTGGTCACAATGCTCACATACACGTCTCAGTTTAATCTGGTAGCCACCAGGAACTGAGTGAGGGTGAAGCTCAGTATGTGAGACCCTGAGATCGATCCCTAGGACCTTCCAAAATAAATAAATATGGTAGGGCCAATGAGCACTTGAAATGTGGCTGGTTAGAACTGAGATATGCTGGCCACCCCTGGTGCATACCTGTAATCCCAGTTGCTTGGGAGGCCAAGGCAAGTGGATCACCATTTAAAGCCAGCCTCAGCAAATTAGGGAGGCCCTCTCGCTAAATAAAATACAAAAAAGAGCTGGGGATGTGGCTCAGTGGTTAAGTGCCCTTGAGTTCAATCCCTGGTACCAAAAGAAAAAAGAAAAGAACTGAGACATGCTGAAAGATCTAAAACAGATTTGGAAGATTTTGTACAAAAAAAAAAAAAAAAGATTTCAAATGTTACCATTAATTTACTGATTATATGCTATACTGTTTTGTATATATTAGGTAATAGAAAATATATTTAAATTAATTTAACCTGTTTTATTACTTTAATATAATTACTAGAAAAATGTAAAAATTACATTTTAATTTGCTCATATTTCTATTAGAGTTGTGCTGGGAGCTAATCCAGAATGGAAAGCTGCCATTGTGGTCTTTATTCATTCAATGAGACCCATTCGCTGAGCACTTCTTATACACAGGCTCTTCATTGGGTGCCTTTAAAAATTCTCTCTCTGGGGAACAGGTACCTCTGACCGCGGAATCTCCACGGCTCCAGTCGCCAGAAATGAGGCAGCCGCGAGGGACCCCAACTGTGGCTATTAGCCCAGGTGATCGCACCGCAAAGGCCTGCTGTACCGAGTACGCCAGGGCAAGCTTAATCCCTCTGCCGGCGGACTCGACTGCAGGAGGGAGGGAGGGAGGGACAGAGGGTGGAGAATGGCGAGGCTGCGGAGAAGGAGGCCAAAGTGGGTTATTTCTGCGATGGTCCCAGCCTAGGACCCCGCGAGCCACGGTGAGGAAGGCACGGGGTAGATTTAAGGTAAACGCACATTCCGGGGGTAAACAGGGTTCAGGAACCGGGGCCTTCCACTTTGCACCCATGTGTTGCCATGGTAACAGGGTCCCCTCCTCCCTCCACCATCCGGCCAGAGCGGACCACCTCCCGGAGCCCGCTACTCTGTCTCTCACCTCACCCCACTGCTTGCCGAAGCTCTAAGGATCAGTCCGTCCGGCGCCACCCCGCGCCTCTGCCCGCCCCCCGCGCGCCCCCTCTCTGACCCTCTGCCCCCTCCCCGCCGGTGCCTGAGGCCGCCGACTCTCACCCAGCCTCGCTCTTCGCAGCGCCGACCACTCGGCTGTGCCAACAAGCTCCACCCCCACGCGCGCACTGGCCGCCGCTCGCACGCTGATTGGTCCGCCCCCGGGGCTCGCGCCGGCACCGCCCGCTACTGAGGCCTGAAGGCCGTTGATTGGGCGCCAGTGCACCGCTCTTCTCTGATTGATCGCTGTCCGTGGCCTTCCCAGTTCTCGGGCTCGAACCCCTAATTGGCCCTCGTTGAGGGCCGGGTAATCTCTGATTGGTGCAGCTCAGTGGTTCTGAGCCCAGATTAGAAGGCAAGGACAGAATGAGGGCCGTTTGGTCTGCAGTCGTCCAGTCACAAAGGGCCCAAGAGGCCGCTGCTGCAACCTGCATAATTGCGGATGTGCCTTGAAAGGGATGCTTAAAAAGTATGTGTTGGGCAGGGGAGGAGGTGATTTCCAGGGCACAATTTATCTAATAGTACACCATGGATAAGAAGTCATGAATAGCAATAACTACCCTTCGCTATTAAGTGCATTTAAAAAGAGTCAAACCTTTTCATTTATGTGCTATGTCTTGGGTAAAATAAACGTGATTGGTTGTACAGCTTATTATCCAGAGTTCTGGAAAAGAATTCCAGAAGCCCCTTCCAAGCCCAGCAAGGCCACCACTTGCTTGACTTTGTATGACTTTTGGCACTTCACTTTCCAAAATCTCGATTCCCATATTTGAAAATGAAGGGGTTGGGCAGTTCTCCTTACAAACTGCTTTTGAACGTTAATAACTTTGACACTACTTTAGGTGGTTTCAGTCATTGTGATCCATAGAAATGTGCAGTAAAAGTCAAAAGACAAGGTTCAACAGCACATTAAAACTAAGAATAAGGCATTAAATAAGATGAGGCATGCAAATAGTGTGCCTGGGTGCCTGGCACATAGTAAGTGTTTGGCAGATGAAATGGTAAGTTATGGTGGTGATGGTAATAACGTCAACCTAAATGATAAAGGTTTCACTCACCCTGGGTTTTAATTTTCATTTGGTAAAATGGAGCATAGGTGGCATCTCCTCCATATAGGTGACCTTTGTTGAAGATGGTATGAATTGCTCTTTGCCACACATGTGAAGTATAGGTGGTTGATTAATTTTGAAGTAAAAGAGAAAACTGAAATGCAAAATGACTGAATAATGTAGTATTGTGTAAGTGTTGGTGTTCTGGTGTCAGAGTGCCTAAGTTTGAACCCTGTTCCAACACATTCCACCCATGTAACCTTGAGAAAGTACCTTCTATTCTCCAAATATCACTTCTTCACTTCTCAAGTGTGGTCACTAATCACACCTACTTCAATAGACTTGAGAAGATTGCATTGGAAAGATGTTAGCAATTGTTATTACCTAAGAGACAAGATACAATAACGTGGTTACTAAAAAACATGTGCCTAACGCCCAGAAACAAATCACTGCTGTGGGCAGTTCTTGTTCAGGCATAGAATTAACATTAACTAAGGGCCTCCCATGTATCAAGCCTTATAGTGGGTGCTGAAGATGCTGCAGTGATTACTATCACAGGCACAACCCTGTGCTCATATAATCTAGCTAGGAAAACATATTTGTTGAATTGAATTAAATAACAGAACTTGGAAATCTAACAGTCTTATGATCTTGAGAATAGGAAATCATTAACAAATATCTATTTATAAAACTCTCTAGAAAAAACATTTTAAAGCTGCCAATGATAAATTATTCTAGTGTTTTATAAATTATCCTAGTGTTTAGCTCTCACAGCTAAGAAATTTTTCTGTCATGGGGCTGGGGTTGTGGCTCAGTGATAAAGTGCTTGCCTAGCACGTGTGAGCCACTGGGTTTGATCCTCAGCACCATATAAAAATAAATAAAGGCATTGTGTTCGTTTACAACTATAAAAATATTTTTGAAAAGAATTTTTTCTATCATAAAAAGCCAGTCACTGGGAAAATTTGTTTATAATTTCTTAAATTTAAATTTATCTATGTATTTATTTACTGGAGCTGGAGATTAAAACCAGGACCTTATGCAGTCTAGGCAAACACTACCAGTGAACTACACCCCCAGCCCTTGTTCATATTTAAAAATTTTATTTGGGACAAGAGAGGCCTCACCCACTGAGAAAGAAATTTTTCAGGACTCTACAGCTGGGTGCCAGTACACTTCTCTGGCTTTGATGCTTTCTCATTCTCTCCATGTATGCTATCCCTGGGCAAGGGCTATGGAGGCAGGGGGTGCTCATTAATCTCACTAATGGGCATCTCCCTTCCTTGACTTTGCTTTCAGAGTTCCTTCTCCCTGGCAGGTATTCCTGTCTTGCATTTTTTTCTTCTTTTTTTCTTCTTGTGCTGGGGGATTGAACCCAGGGCTTTGTGCATGCTAAGTACATGCTTTACCACTCAGCTACACTCCCAGCCTACAGTCTTTCCTTATTTGTGGAAATTCTCTTCCAGCTGTAGAGGCCCAGCCTTCTGTTTCCTTCTCCATGAAGTCCATCCCAAGCTTGGTGCCTCCATGCTGGAAGTAATTTCTCCTTCCTCAATGATTAAATAACATTTCAAAGCCCTTTCTTGCAACCTCCAGTGCTTCAGACACTCTGCTATGCATTCATGTATGCATCTGATCACTATGTGACTAGATGATAAAGTCTTTATGGAACACAACAATGTCTAGTATACATTTAGTCATCTCCTAAACTAGCAATTATGGAGTTCCCACTATCTCCTGGACACTGAGGGCACAAAGACAAAAACCTTATTTCAAGGAGTATATAATCAAATGGGGTGGGGGTGCTGTAAAGAAAAGATCAGTTCCATTTAAAAAATATAACCATGGGCTGGGATTGTGGCTCAGTGGCAGAGCGCTTGCCTAACATGTGTGAGGCACTGAGTTCAATTCTCAGCACCATATATAAATAAATAAAATAAAGGTCCATCAACAACAACAAAAATATATTTTTTTAAATAAATAAATAAATCCAGCTTCTTCAGAGCTGGCCACAGAAGGAAATTATTCATGTAGAAAGTAGAGACTGAATTGATGCTGCAGCTCTCATAAAAGGGATCCGATCCTTCTCCCTCTTAGGAGCCTCTTAGCTCTTAGCACTGGCTGCTGTTCCCACCATGCTGTATTTGGCAGACTCAGTATTTCTTTAAACTTTCAATGCCAATGTAGTCATACTTTGCTATTATTGTCATTGTTTAACATCACAGAGCAGACATAAATGTGCACAATTCTGCAAAAATTATCTAAAAACTTGAAGATATTAAAAGGGAAATGAACAGAGAAAGTAATATGCAACTAATAATGTAGCCTAGCTCACAAAATATGACATAATCAGAGTAACTTGGATATCTCTAAGGCAAAGGTATTCTGTGACTCCTTTTACCCAGGACCCATATCCTTTCTGAAAGGGAGAGAGCAGCATCTCTCTACTGACAGTCTCCTGAATAAATAGTTGATATATCAAATGGCCCCTTCCCGAGATGATTAACCACAGGAACCTCCAACAGTGAGGCCCGACTCTCACCTCAGTGGCATTGCAACTTATTACCAGATGCTCTTTCATCCATCTCTACCCTCTTGGCCTAGATGATCCTGTGTGATTACTGTTAATGATGATGCCTCTTGATTTTATATCTCCACTTAGATGCCTCATAGAATCTTAACACATCCCAAAGAAACTTGAGTTCCCTTCTCAAAACTTCTTCCCACCCCACCTCTAGTTTTCTGTGTCTTATTGCCAACACCATCATCCATCCAGTTACTCAAACCAGTAACTATCATCCTTAAGTCCTCCATTACTCTCAACACAGAAGCAAACCTGTTGACTCCACTTCTGAGACTTGTCATGAATCCAACTTCTCTCCAACTCCATTGTCATCACAAAATGAAGGCCACCATCACCTCTGGCCTAAAAAACTATAACCACCTCTTTTTCCTCCTGTGGTCCTGGGGATCTAACCAAGAGTGCTCTACCAATCCTAGCTCAACACATTTTGTTTTGTTTTGTAATTTTTTTATGGTTTATTTATTATTTTTTAAATACACGACAGCATTGGAATGTGTTACAATTCTTATTACACATATAGAGCACCATTTTTTGTATCTCGTATATAAAGTATGTTCACACCTATTTATGCCTTTATACATGTACTTTGTTTTTTTGCATTACAATTATTTTTTAAAATAAATTCCATGTATTATTTAATCTAGAATGAGTCAGTTTTTTAAAATATTTATATTTTTTTTAGTTTTAGATGGACACAATATCTTTATTTTTATGTGGTGCTGAGAATCGAACCCAGTGCCTCACACATGCTAGGCGAGTGCGATACCACTTGAGCCACATCCCCAGCCCCATACAATTCTTAATACACATATATACCACAATTTTTCATATCTGTTTGTATATAAAGTATGTTGACACCCAATTCAAATCTTCATACATGCACTTTGTATTATGATGTCCAGCACATTCCACCATCCTTGCTAATCCC